AGTATGTTGCAGTGGAAAGCTTTATTTTAGACTCTCAAATTTCCTGAGAGCAGTGACGTTACACCGTGCATCTTTGTGCCTTCTGTAATTTCCTGGCATTTCAACAAATGGTTGCTGAATTAATTGCACTCTGAGTCTTCTCGTATCTTTCCCCATATTTACAATAGATTTTTCTTCCTTCTCTTCATTTTGCTTTTTCTGATTTATGCCGCCCAGAAGTTAAAGCAAGAACACATATAAGAAAAAGATCACGCTGCAGTATACATGTGTACAGCTGCATATTTTCTTGTGATATCGATTAGGCATGTTAAACTATAAGTCTTTAACATCACGCCGCATTGATTCTGGCTTATGTTCTTTTTGTTTAAAGTTATATATATTAAATCTTTGTGTAATTAAATGATATGAAAAATACATGTAGCTGTTATATTCTCAGTCGATTGTTCTCCAAGAAAACGTCTAAGTGAAAATGGATGTTTATCTGTCGCTTAGTGGAGGTGAGGACGTGGCATTATTAAGAATCATCTTACTGAATGTTAACAAAGCATTCTTACAGCTGCAGTCACGGTTGTGTAAATAAGCCTCCTGGAGTTAACGTGAGGAAATTGTTCAGTGTTTAAAGGGCTTGTTCTTCCCCTTGTTGGAAGCCGGCCTCCTCCGCAAGCTGCAGCCTCACTTCCTTAAGTCAGCTGAATTTCTGTGGACCCACTTTTGTTTGCTGTTGTTTAATCACTGGAGAGTGAGGATTCTACTTGAATGCAAAGGAATCATGTATCTAAACTGAATGCTCAGTACCAGTTTATTTCTAATTTGGCAGAAGGCAATTATATTTTGTTTATTAATGTAATAACATTTATCAAACACCTACAGTGTATCAGGTACTAACTAGGCCCTGGGGATACAGCAATGAATGAGATGATGTCCTCAAGGAGCACAGGGTCTAATAGGGCAGGTAATTATAAAGGTAATGCCAGGTGCTGTGTTATATGCTGGCATAGAATTGCATGCCAGGGACAGGGTTGGGCAATAAATGCAGCGCTTAATTCTGGATATGGGAGTCTTAGCAAGTTCACAAAGGAGAAGGCAGACAATACTAATGATGATGATGATGATGGTGATGATGATGAAAATAGTCTTAGAAAGTTTCACAAAGGAGAAGGCAGATTAATAATAATAATAATAATCTCCTTTTATTAAAGAAGAAAAATACTTTAATAAAGGTGGCTGCATAACACAGAGAAGGATTTGTCCTCTTCGTGGTTTTGGGGGTGGTGGTGATTGGAGTGTTGGTGGGTTCGGGGAAGGCTTCACTGAAGAGTTAATACAGTGTGTTTTGCAGAATAAATAGGTGTATGCCATCTGGAATTGCTGAAAGAATCATACTGACAAATACCTGGAGGCACAAAAGTGCACAGTTTGGCAAGTTCTGTGCAGTAGTGGCTGGAGTGTCAGTTGAGGACGGAAGTCTAGTCCAGCCCCACAGGACAGGGCTTTGAATCCATATGAAGGAATTTGGTCATTATTTTGTAAGCAATGGCGAGTCAGCAGAGTTTAAGCAGAAACGTGTGATTCTTTTGCCAGAACATAGTTGATAATACATAATCTAATGAGACCTCAGGTTTATAATAAATAGTTATAAATTGAGGCAGTTGCCTACCTCTTATTAAATTATATCAGATATTATTAGAGCTGTGAGGATATAAGCCACAAAGAGTCAGCCCATAAACACAGAAAGATGCAGAACAGAATAAGATGGCTTGTGCTAAGTGTTAGCTGGAACAAATAGGAAATCATGGAGGACTTGAGAGAACGCTCAGCTCAGACAGGACCTCCGGAGTTTCACAGGGTGATGACACGCTACCTGTCTAGGCTGATCTGTGCTCGGTTGATAAGTGAAGAACAACAAAGATATCAACATATCAACAGAAGTCAAAATTATTTTATTGTTTACCTGGCATGTCCATGCCACACCCGAGGTGCCTTAGAGCACTGACGTGCCCTCTGCTTACAAGTAAATGCCTTTCACTAAACATGAACCTCCAGTCAGAGTTCTTGATGTGAGTATCTGTGGTCCAGTCATGTGACATTTGTTTTTAAAATCTTCATACAATGTTGTATATTCTTTTTGTTTGGTTGTTTTCTTCCTCTTTCGTTTTCTTTACCCTTTTGTAAAGATGCTATGGATTTTAGCTCAGGCTGACCTCTGTAATGTTGCTACATACCACTGGTAGATCATAAAAAGCTGTAAAGCTTCATTTAGTACTTTTTTTAATCAGATGATATTTGTCAAAGCACCTAGCAAAATGCTTGTGATTTAGGTATTCAGAGAATATTAGTTTCCTGGGGGTCTCCCCATCTGAATAATAACGTGAAAACCCAAACTGTATGTAAGAAATTAGTTAATATATATTTGAAAAGATTTTATAGGCATACAAAGTATAGGATGGCATTACTATCATTTTCATCTAAGCGCTTTCTGTAATAATGTGTACATATATGTATATGTGTATGTGTGTGTGAAATATACACACATTTATAATTTTATTTCAGAAGTCGGGGAAACAAAGATAACCATTTTATATATAATACAACTATGATTATTTTCTAAAAATTAAAAAAAAGGCTTCTTTGTATTAATTGAAATATCCAAGATTTTCCTGGAGTATCTTAGGTATCTGTAGATATTTTTCTATAATTTATTTAGTAAGAGATACAAAAATTACATAATTTAAAGAATTGAAGCATCGTTGATTTGCAGTATTGTTTGTGTTAGTTTCAGGTGTACAGCAAAGTTACTCGGTTATTTTTTTTGGATCATATTCCATTTTAGGTTAACACAAGATACTGCATATAATTCCCTGTGCTATACAGTAAATCCTTGTTGCTCATCTATTTTATGTATAATAGTGTGTATCTGTTAATCCCATACTCCTAATTTGCCCCTTTCTCTCCCCTTTGGTAACCATAAGTTTGTTTTCTATGTCTGTGAGTCTGTGTCTGTTTTGTATATGGATTTATTTGTATTATTTTTAAAATTGCACATTATAATATCACAGTATTGGTCTTTCTCTGTCTGACTTAGTTCACTAAGTATAATATTCTCTTGGTCCATCCATGTTGGTGCAAATGGCAATATCTCATTCTTTTTTATGGATGTGTAACATTCCATTGTATGTGTATATATATGTGCACATACACACATATAGGCATCTGGGTTGCTTCCATGTCTTGGCTATTGTAAATAGTGCTGCTGTGAACATTGGGGGTGCGTGTATCTTTTCAAATTAGGGTTCTTGTTTTTTCCAGATATATATACCCGGGAGTGGGATTGCGGGATCATGTGGTAACTCTA